TTTTTTGAGTTCATAATAATCATATGGCTTCAGTCATTCATTAAACAGAGTGTTAAAAAAATACATGAAGAAAGTAACAAGTCAGTAAAAAGACAGGAAAGAGGGAAAAAAACCAAAGTGGACGTCAGAAGAGACTCAAAAAGCTAATGGAAGAAATAAAGAAATGAAAGAGCTGAACAGAAAATTTCTAAGGGCAGTTTGAGAAGACAAAGTCAAATATTATAATGAAATGTGCAAACACCTGGAGTAAGGAAACCAAAAGGGAAGAACATGCTCAGCATTTCTCAAGCTGAAAGAACCGAATTAAAAATTCAAGCCTTGGGTTGCAAGATTAAAGGATTTTGTCAGCAAAATATTGAATGACATAGGAAGAACACATAGAAGATAGAAGGAATACACAGACTCACTGCACTAAATAGAACTGGCCATCATTCAACCAATTCAAGAGACAGCATAGGATTAAGAGCCAATGGTACTGAAGGTACTGGTGAAAAGCAAGGCTCCAGGAATTAATGTAACAGACCAAGATGCAGTTGTTCAAACAGAACACAGAAACACCAAATGGTTTAAAATTTGGGAAGTTGTGTGGCAGGGTTGTAGTCTTTCACCATACTTATTCAGTTTGTATACTGAGCTAATAGTTCGAGAAGCTCGATTAGATGAAGAAAAATGTGGCATTAGGATTGGAGGAAGACTAATTAACAACCTGTGATATGCAGATGACACAACCTTGCTTGCTGAAAGTGATTGGTTGGTTATGTGCTGTGGAGTCGGTTCTGACTCATAGTGACTCTATATAGGGTCATTATAGAAACAGAAAGCCCCATCATTCTCCTGCATTATAGCTGGTAGTTTCAAACTGCTGACCTTGAGGTTAGCAGCCCAACTTGTAACCACTATACTACCAGAGCTCCTTAAGCAAAGGGGACTTAAAATACTTACTGATGAAAATCAAAGACTATAGCATTCAGTATGAGTTGCACCTCAATGTAGAGAAAACAAAACTCCTCACCACTGGAACAATAATTAACATCAAGATAAATGGAGAAAAGATTGAAGTTGTCAAAGACTTCATTTTGTTCAGGTCAGTTGTCAACACTCATAGAAACAGCAGTCAAGAAATCAAATGATTTATTATTATTATTATTATTGCATTAGGCAAATCTGCTGCACAAGATCTCTTTAAAATGTTCAAGAGCAAAGATGTCAGTTTGTGGACTAAAGTGTGCCTGACTTAAGCTATGGTATTGTCAATAGCCTCATATGCATGTGAAAGCTGGACAGTGAATAAAGAAGACTGTAGAAGAATTGATGCCTTTGAATTATGATGTTAGAGGAATATATTGAAAGTACCACGAACTGTCAAAGAACAAACAAATCTGTGTTGAAAGAAGTACAGCCAGATGCTTTTTAGAATCCAGGATGGTCAGATTTCGTCTTTCATACTTGAACATATTATCAGGAGGGACCAGTCCCTGGAGAAGGATATAATGCTTGCTAAAGTGGAGGGTCAGTGAAAAGGAGGAAGGCTCCCATGAGATGGACTGAAGCACAGTGGCAGAAGCAATGGGCTCAAGTGTAGCAACGATTGTGAGGTTGGTTTTGGTGCAGGACGGGGCAGTGTTTTGTTCTGTTTTGCATTAGGGTGCTATGAGTCAGTATCAACTGGACATCACCTAACAACAATAGCAAATTGTTTCTAAGTAAGATAATTTATCCTTGCCATTTACAATAAAATGCAAAAGGATAAAAATTGTCTTAAAATTGAATCATGCCAACTGAAAGTAAAACTTAAAGATTTGGATACTTCTGTTGTACAAACTAATGACATGTGTTTAAACATTTTTTACCAAGAATATAGCTACAAATCTTTTGTTAAAGAGATTAAGTCTGTGACTGATGGATAAACAATTACAATAGCCCCCATTACTCGTGGTGGTTACATTCCAAAGCCCCTAAATGGATGTCTGTAACCAGGATAATTGTTTTTTTTGTTGTTGTTGTTAAGTGCCATCGAGTTGTTTAAAAATGGGTGTAATAATTATACTTACTTCACAAGGCTGTTGGTTCCGACTCATAGTGACCCTGTATAGAGTTTTGAGGCTGTAAATCTTTGAGAGTAGAAAGCGTCATCTTTTTCCTGTGGAGTGGCTGATAAGCACAAATCACCAATCTTGTGGTTTGCAGTCCAGTGTTTATCCTACAGAGCCACCACACTCCCCTCATGGTAGTAGTAAACCCTGTATATACTATGTTTTTTCCTAAGCACACATACAACAGGTATGTATGTAGGCAGGCAGTACTAACCCATTGGTTGTTGGCAGGGCATGGCACAACTGTTCACCCAATTATGTTCGGCATATTTGAATTGCCAGCATCACTATTTTTGCACTTTGGGGCCAAAGCAAAGTAAGACTTACTTGAAGACAAGCACTGTTATACAAGGGTGGTCAGTAAGACTAAACAATTACTAAGCCACTAGTGGGCAGGTCGTGTATACACTATGGATACACCAGACAAAGGGATGATTCACATTCTGGGTGGCACATAGCAGGATGATGCAAGACTTTATTACGCTACTCAGAATGGTGTGCAATTTAACTATTTTTGGACCATAGTTGACTATGATTTACTGAAATCATGGAGAGTAAAACTACAGATAAGGGAGGACTGCTTCTGGTGTGGCGCTGTAGAATTAGCACTGGACTGCGAACCACAAAGTTGGCATTTCAAACCCACCAGCTGCTCCTCGGAAACACTATATAGAGTCACTATGAGTCAGAATAAACTCGAAGGTAATTAACAACAACAACTGTACCACAGCAGAAAATCCATCAGCTTAGATTGAAGGGGACAGAAAACAAATGAAAGAAAAGAACAATGTCTACCACTTACAATTCTATAGGCAGGAAACAGGCCAAAGTATCTACATCTGTTGTCCTCCAAGAAAAGAAAAGAACTGTAATTGGTCATCTTGGAGATCAGCAGAACTGTTTGAAGGAGTACAGGAAGCAGAACTACTTAGGTCTTGAAGGATGAGGCCATAGCTTCTGGGGTCTCAAGGATCGAGTCAGGGTCTCCTAGGTTTCAAAGAGTCAGATCTTCACCAACTTGGTTCTAGAGCATGGGGCTGCTGTCCAGTTTGGCCAAGAGGATGGGGCTCCTGTTCAAAGCTGAGGGGGTGGTGCTGCCATGTCCAAGGGACAGAAGAATGGGGCCTGCCAGGGCTAAAGAGTTGCTACTCAGATAGACCAGGAGAATAGGGTCACTCAATCCAAGGGAGCAGAGTTGCCCACAGTAGGTCTGGAAGGTGAAATTGAAGCTATGAGACCTCTAACCAGAATCCAGAGACCATGGCTAATGTAGAGTCTGAAGAGC